AGCTCTCAGAAGGGCGGAGCAGGAACCCGAGGGGTGGGACTTCTAGGCCTTCGTGGAGGCTGAACCCGCATGCTCTTTGCAGGTCCGGGACTCATCTGTAGGCTGGGCGCTTGGCTACATGCTGAACTTGACCAACATGATCCCAGCCGAACCACCGAGGCTGCGCAAGAGTTCAGAGTTTGGTTCCTGGGTGGTCCTCCTCTTGCTGTTTTCCTTCCTGCTCCTGGCTGCACTATTCCTCCTGCTGCGCCGGGCGCGCGCTGCCAAGTCATCAAACATCAGCTAGAGACGGGCCAGGGATCTGCCCCCAGCGTCTTCATCTCCCCTAACCTTCCCCCCTCTACCCCAGCACCCAGTCCTAATGCACCCGGAACTGAGACAGGGATTCAGGCGCCCAGTCCCACCATGGGATCCGGTGGAAGGGAGGAGCCCAATTGTGTCCCCTCCAGCCTCTCCTCCCCTTTCCAGGCCTTGGCTTGGTCTCAAGGTATCTGCTTCCTGTCCACTTCCTGGGGGTGGGGGTCTCCAGACCCCCCCTGCCTGTCTGTGAGGGTTCTCATCCTCTGTCTTCTCTCCAGTGAGTGAGGTTTTTTTTTTTATTCTGAAAACAAGGATCCTCGAGCATGTCCTCCCACTACATATTGTGGGAGGGTCAGAGCCCATAGGCTGGAAACCAGCCCAGCGCTTACTTGTAAGAATTTTATAATAAATTTGTTTCTTAGAGCAGTGTATAGTCCTCATCGGGTGGGTCCTCTTTGCTGGTGCCTGCCCCCACTCCAGCTGCGCTGGGCCCTCTTCCCTCTCCTCAGCCTAGAGGTGAGACTCCCTGGGCTCAAGGTGGCCTGGGATTGATGTCTCAATGGAGCCCCTGGATTCACACCAGTGACCTAAGTCAGGCCGGAGGCGGGTCCTGGCCTAGAGCAGGCCTGAGGGACTCACATGTGGGTGGGGCCGTGGCAGTTCTCTGTCAATAGAAGGATGAGATTGGACCTCATCGCTGAAGGCTAGCGATGCAGTGCTCAGCAGTAGAATCCTAGGGGACGTCAGTCCCTTCCGCTTGCATCCCCAAGAGGCCCAGCAGTATCACCCTGCTCCTGCAGCCCCCTCCCTAGCTCGGTGGGGAGGCGTGGTCTTTGTGGGCCTCCCTCCCTTCCTGTGAAATGAGCTCAAACACTATTACTGTCTGGTCAGTGCCTGGAGGGTGGAGGTTATCTTGCTCTGCTCATCCTTCCTGTATTTCTGTCATTTTGGAGGCATTTCACAAACCTGAAGGTCACTAGGCCCAGCGTCAGAGTCTTGAGGCCCTAAAGGCTGAGAAGAAGCATGGGTTCAAGCTCTCACCCTTGTCCACTTCAAAGATGTGGGCCAGGAGTCGGTTGCCAGGTGGGATGTCATGGGGCATGCTCCCGTAAGACAGCAGGTAGTTGAAGGGGGTTATACGTGCTCGCTATTGTGGGGCCCTAGGGACTCCTGGTCAGAGAAAAAGAGGAAGACTCCCAACGAGATGGATTGGCCAAGTGGCAGCATCGATGGACTCAAGCATGGCAACAGTAGTGAGGTTGGCCCAGGATTGGGCTGTGTTTCGTTCTGCTGTGCATAGGGTCGCTATGAGTCGGTACGACTCGATGGCACCTAACAACAACAACAACAACAGCAAGAACTCCTGGGGAGTCCTGATATAGTGCTGTGGGATAAAACACTGGATTGCAAGGTTGGTTTGAGCCACAAGGTCAGCGGTTCAAGCTTACCAGCGGCTCCTTGGAAGCTCTACAGGATCGCTAAAAATAGGAACCAACGTGTAAGCTGCTATGCTAGCCAAGATCCTCCTAGGGACTCCTGGGGTCTGCCTATCTGGGCCCAAGGTGACCACCTTGGACAGCTCCCAGCTCATGCTCAACAACCTAGGTCACTCTCGCCCTCTGGTGGCTTTCATGAGCTCAGCAGTCCGCTCAGCCTCGTTCTGGAATGGGGTTGCTTTTCACTGCGTGCCTGAGTGCCCCGGCACCCCTGTGCACCCGCTTCTCCGTAGCGCCTGCGTGTCCGGTGTCCCAGGGTCTCGTTCCTTTAGGTCCAGACAGATCCCCTCTCCAGCAAGAATAGGGAGTAGAATGGGAAGCTGGTAGCCCGACAGGGAGGGGGAGGTGAGAGCGCATCTTGGGAAATCCCACCCCCGGCCAGTCTTGGATTCAGGAGGAGCAGAGGAAAAAACAGCTGCAAAGGTTGCAAGAGCCGAGGCTACAGCGGGTCGGGTTGGGGCTGGGAAGAGGAGGCGGGGGCCCAGCCTGCAGGCGCCGTCCCGCCCCCGCTGAACGAATGCGCAGGCGCACTCCTCGCGTGCGCGTCTGGGGCCGCCGCGCCTCCATCCTGGATCCTTTGCCGCAGCGTCAGCGCCTCCGCGGCCGCTTTTCCTTTTCCTCCGCCTCCGTCTCCACTTCCTCCTACGCGTCCTCCGACGCGGAGTCCGGATCCCGCGCCGAGTCCCGGGCCGCGCGGTGCCATGCTGCCCCGGCGACGACCCTGAAGGATGGCGACGCCCGTCCCTCCGCCCTCTCCGCGGCACCTGCGCCTGCTGCGTCTCCTGCTCTCAGGCCTCGTCCTCGGTGCGGCCCTGCGCGGGACCGCCGCCAGTCGTCCGGGTGAGCCAGTGCGCGGCACAGACCCGGGCCTCCACGGCGGGGAGCTGGGGCTGCCTTGGCCACCACCGCCCTGCGCCACTCCTCTGCCCCGGGTGCGGTAAACAGCGCGGGTGCGGCGTGCAGGCGGCGAACATGAACTTCATGCGCTTCTTGCCTTTGTCTTGGTGGGGGGGCGTCTCAGCACCCGCGGCGCCCTGTGGTCCTGATTCTGGTTCGGGGGCCAGACACCCACTGCCCTGTGCGCTGCTCTGTTGTGTATGTTTAAGTGTGGGCGGGCCTGACCCCGGGTGGTCAGCAGCCTTGTTGACTATGTCTGCCCAGGGGTCTGTCACTAGGCCCTAGTCTCCCTGTCTCCGTGCCTCTGATGAGCTTGTCAACGACTGTCGTGTTCCTTGGCTCCCTAACAGCCCTCTCCCAGGCTAAGGGTCTTGTTCTGGTTTGGGGGTGGGGGTGGTCTTCTAGCCTCAGAGCCCCACCCCCAGATCCTGGCACAGAGCCCCTTAGGCTCTGAGGCATCCTCTGGGGTAGAGCCAGGAGCCCAGGTCCCTGACAGGCCCTATCACCTCCCATATGGGCACAGGAAGCCAGAATCCTGCCTCCTAAGCCTGGAATATACCTTCCTCCAAGGCTAAAAAGGGAGATGGTGCCCAGCTCCCAGAGGTGTCTGGGGACAAAGATCCTGACAGAATAAAGCAGCTAAAGTGCCACAGCACTGATGAAGTTCCAGACATTTCTCCTACCATCTGTCCTCCAGGCAACCCATTTCACAGATGAGGGAACTGAGGCACTGTGGAGTTAAGTGACGACTGTGTGGCAGAGCTAGGATGCTAACCGGGGGAATCTGGGTTTGCCTGTGAGGACTCATAAGGCCTGGTTTCTTCCTGGGCACAGTGCCCCTGGGTGAGAAGTTGGCATGACCAGGGCAGGCTCCATGGAGGCCTGAGGGCTCAAGGCTGACCAGCTGGTGATGGTAGAGACTGGACAGATGGGCCTCCAATAGAAAAAGTCTGGAGCTTGCTGTACTGAGTCCAGGGGCTGCGTATAGGCTGGTACAGCTTTATATCTACGTCTGTGGGCAGCTGCTCCTGTCTCTAGTGCCCAAGGCACTGCCCAACGACCTGGCAGGGGCTCTGGGCTTGTCCAGGTGGCAGGCTGCCAGCCACTCTCCAGCTGTTGTTTCCCCGAGGCTGAGGGAAACTGATGTTCTTGTGAAGGGCCCTCACTTGCCTTTCTGGGCTAGGGGACCTCAAGGAAGGTGGTCAGGGAAGACCTAGACCCCAAAGCCACTTTGTACCTCAGGCCCCTGCCCTCACCTGGTGGGCTCTGGGCTATCGGGGGCAGGGTCTGCCCAGCTTCCCGAGTGCCCAGCCAGTGGGTGGGGTCCAGACGGACTTGTTGGCACAGGATTAATGTTTAACCAGCTCCAGCCCCAGGCTCCAGCCAGACTCTGGAGCCTGCTGGTCCCGTGGTGAAGGGTGAAGGGTGAGGATGCCTGGATAGGAGTCTGTGCACGGCCTCCCACCCCCAATCCACCTGCTACAGGACCTGTTGGAACTTTGTCTGAAGGGATGCCTACAGCCCCAGGCAGAGTGTCAGGTTACCAAGGAAACCAAGGCAGGTCAGCTAAGGTCTGGAGAAGGACAGAGGCAGGCATTCCATCATTACTGCCCTGAGCCCCAGCGGCCCAGCCTGCAGTGGAGGACGTGGGCAGCCCAGGGACGGTCGTCAGCCTCCCCTGCTGGCTACCCTTCTGAATCTGACTGGGTCCGAAGGAAGGCACAGTCCCCAGCCTGAGGACCTTCACTTGCTGCATCTCGGGGGGACACTGAGGCAGGGCCTCAGGCCTTCCTTCCCCCATCGGTATCAAGATGGGTTTCTGTTCCTTTGGAAGGCTGACCAGCTGGCCATGTGTACAAGGATAACAATCTGGTGTGGACCCAGACCTGGGAGTCCCAGCATGCTGAGGGACTGAAAGGCAGAGAGGCCCCGCCGTGGCCTGTACAGGCCCCTAGCTGTCCTGTGGCAGGAGGGAGTGAAACCCCCCAGCGCCCCCGGTTCTTTCTCCCAAGCAGGTGGCTCCGACCAGCTCCATTCTAGGTCTTTGTGACCCCCCCAGAGACTCTGTGTCCTGGGGACAATAGCTAGAGGTTGGACAAGGGGAGTGACAGCCACCAGACCTGCTCTCTAGGACTGTGGGGTGGGGCAGTGGGGGTCTGGGGTAGCTCTAGGCCACTGGAGAGGGCTGGATCACCTGCAGTCCTTTGCCGCCTCTGAGCCAGAGAAGCAGGCCTGGGCCCTACCCCTCCAAACTCCCAGCCTGGGAGGGGCTGCAGGCCACACAGAGGGGGTGGGCTTCGGGGTGGCAAGGCCCCAACCAGCACACCAGACAGTTAGAGACACTTTTTCTGGTACGGTAGTTGGACCAGGCCTAGGAGGTGGGCTCTGGGGAAAGGGTGGGGCAAGGCAGTTCCGATCAATCTTGGGGTTGTCTTCCTGGTTCTGATCTCAGGCAGCAGGGAGGAAGGGCTCACCCAGAACAATGGCCGGAGCCAGGCCTGGCCAGCTTTGTGGGGGAGGTGTTTGAGCCTCCGAGCAGGGCCCTGACGGCTTCTGCCTCTGCCTTGTCCCAGATGCGGCCACCTGCCCCGGGAGCCTAGATTGTGCCCTGAGGAGGCGGACACGGTGCCCCCCGGGCGCACATGTTTGTGGGCCCTGCCTCCAGCCCTTCCAGGAGGATCAGCAGGGACTCTGCGTGCCCAGGACCCGCCGGCCTCTGGGTATGTGCATACCTCTGGCCGCCTCCTATGGCCAAGCCATCCCCCTTGGCAGCAGAAGGACCACCCTCAGCTCTCAGGACTGTGAGGGCAGCTCTCAGATCAGGTGTCCATCCACTCCTGCCTCACCAAGTTCCCCTCGTAGGGCAAAGGGTACGCAGTGTTTAGTGTTGGGATGATCCCTGGAGAAGAAAATCCCACAGGCTCTCACTCGTGGATGCCAGTCTTGCCCTCCTTGCTCCCTCCTCACTCACCGACCTGTCCACTGATTAGCAAACATAGAAGAGCGTCTGCTCAACACTGGGGCTGGTGTGTGAGGCCAGCCGACTGCGGAGAGCTCTAAGTTTGACAGGACAGTGCAGAGAAGCCAAAAGGTTGCTTTTTTCTCTGTTCTTTCTGTGGGTGTCTCTCTGGGAGCCTTTGCCTGCACTGTGGACCCCTCAACGCCTCATCCTTGCCCTGTCCTCCCTTCCTCCTGATCCTGGGTGATTGGGTTTACTCCTAGGCAGAGTCACTGACTCCCCTTGACCAGAAGAGATGATCTAGAATTGGGGCATTGCAGGTCATCTTCTATGTTTGCGGGGTAGGGAAGGGGTACTATTGGTCTGCCCAGGCCTTGTGGGGACCCTTGAGGGATAAGCACTGGGAACGGGGCTGGTCTTGTTCCCTAGTAACTCCCCTTTTTGCCTACCACCCCATTTCCCTGGGAACTGATGTTCTTGTGAAGGGCCCTCACTTGTCACCATGGCAAGTGAATGCAAGCACCCCCCACCCCCATGCCTGCTCTCCACTGGTCCCAGGGCCTCCCACCCACAGAAGCTTGGCCCCAGGCCCAGGACCTGACTTCCAGATGTAACCCCTCCCTCCTGGGAGGCCGTCTGAGGCTGATGGCCTCTGGTCTCCTAGGGAGGGACTCCCTCCAACCCAGGCTGGAAGATGAGATCGACTTGCTAGCTCAGGAGATATCTCAGCCTGAGGCAGGGCCCTGGAGGCGCACGGATGGGCCGCAGCCCAAGGGGAGACAACAGCTTTTGGAGCCTGGTGAGACCACAGTTCCCCTGGACCCACCCCTCTGCGCCTGTGAGGACCCCAGCCTGGACCTCCGCTAAAACCTGCCGTCTTTCTTCAGCGGCAACTCCGGGGCTCTCGCAACGGGGCCAGGAACCTGAGCTGGACCTCCCCGTCTCTCAGGGAGCCCCAACGCCTACACCCCACACCTCCTTGGGTTCCCCAGTGTCCTCGGGGCCTGTACACATGTCCCCCCTGGAGCCCCGAGGTGGACGCGGGGACGGCCTGGTCCTTGGTAGGTCTTGTTGGAGGGTCTGGCGGGGAAGGCGGGGCCTGGCACCCTCCAGCCGCCCTCACCGCTCTCCTCCCAACAGTGCTGATCGTGGTGTGCTCCGTAGCTGGTGCTGCTGCCCTCGCCATGGCCGCCCTCTGCTGGTGTAGGTGAGCTCATGCAGGAAGCCGGGCGCGCAGCCCAGGTGGTGGCCACCTGCGTGGCTCTCATGCGTACGCTCCTGCAGGCTGCAACGAGAGATCCGCCTGAGTCAGAAGACGGACTATGCGGTGCAGAAGGGACCTGTCTCCCCAATATCGCCCCGGATTTCGGTGCGTCGCCCCGCCTCCTCTGCCCTCCACCCGCCACTGCCCCACCCCCTCCCTCTGCTACCTGACCCCTTCCACCCGCCCACAGCCTGGGGACCAGCGACTGGCGCACAGCGCTGAGATGTACCACTATCAGCACCAGAGGCAGCAGATGCTGTGTTTAGAGCGGTGAGTAGCCCCCATCCCAGACCCAGCCACCATCTCCAGTCCCCGCCTGCTGCCTCCGCCCTGTGTGGGCCCTCCCACCCTGGGACCGGACTGCTCTCTCTCTGGGACCTGACCGAGTCCCCACCCAGGGATCTGGCCACCATCCGCAGACCCCACCTCCCCCTCTACCTGGCCACTGCCCCTGGGTCCAACCTGCTGGAACCACCCCGGGTTCTTGGCAACTCCACTCTAGCTGCAGTGAGCTGAGCCCACTTCCTACTCTTGAGATTCAGACCCTAGCCAGGCCCACCTGGAAGGGGGGGAGGGGAAAGGACCCCACCCAGGACCCTGCCCACCCTCTGTCGGCCCTGCCCCAGGCATAAAGAGTTGCCCAAAGAGTTGGACTTGGCGTCCTCGGACGAGGAGAACGAAGATGGGGACTTCACCGTGTATGAATGTCCGGGTCTGGCTCCGGTGAGCGCTGTTGTGGGGGGTCGGGGAGAGGGAAAAAGGGGGTCCCCGCTTAGCTCCTCTCACCTGATCTCCCGCCTTTGCAGACAGGAGAGATGGAGGTACGGAACCCTCTGTTTGATGACTCCTCTCTGGCTGCGCCCCCGCTGGTCTCACGCTCGATGCCCCCACTGCAGTGACCTGGAGCCCAACGCCCACGCCTCGTCTCCTGGGGGGAGGGCTGGAGTCTGGCTTTGCCATTAGAAAGAACAGTTCTAACAGCAGTCTGTGCTTGCGCCCCCGGCCCATCCCTAGTGCTGGGACCACCTCCCTGCCCATGCTTCTGGGTTCAGGATCCAAACCCCAAACAGGAGGGGGCGAGACAATAAGAACCCTGGAGACCAGAGGCACCTTGGGGACTAAAGCCAATTAAAGTACATTTCAAACCCAGGCCTGAGTGTGGCTTCTTGGGGATCGGGGGGGACAGATGGCTGCTCAGTATTTGGAGGTCTGGTGGGTGGACTCTGGAGGTGGGGGTGGGGGCCTGGGACTTCTCCCTCACCCCACACAGACAACCGCTCTTTCCTGTGCTTGGGAAGACCCTCTCACAGGGCTGAAGGGATATGGCGGCTGCCCCCTACCTCTCTTCCTCTGAAGGCCCCACCTGTATAGAATCTTCTAAGTGAGAGAGGGCCAAGCCAGCTTCAGCATTGGTTGGCTCCCTAGGGGAATCCCATGTTGTGTGGTTGAGGAGAGAGGAGCCACATACATGCACCCCATCTCCATCCCTCCACTGCCCTAGTTCTCCAGGGGGTGGATGGCTGGAAGGGGACTTAGGATTCAGCATTGGGTGTGGGTTCCATCTTTGGGCCTCTAGAGTCTTGGGGTATTAAGGCATGCCAAGCAGAGGGACTTGGGGGACACATGCTACGTATAGGTGGTAGGACTAGGAGGGTGAGGGGACATGCCAGGAAGCTTCAGTGACAGATTGGATTCGCCCCTCTCCAAACCAAGGGACCAAGAGGCTCCTAGGAGGGTGGGTGTTGTTTGGCCATAGACCTGAAGCCGGGTAGCACCACAGGATACAGGCTGGGATGAAGGGGCCAGGATCCTATGCAGACTGGGGAGTGGAGAGTCATGTCCTTGTTTTATAATCCACTCAAGTGAAAGGAGAAACACTGAGCTTCAGAGATGTCAGGGTCTTGCTCAAGCAAACACAGTGCTGGTCACATGACTGAAGCCTATAGCACACCCCTGGAACTCCAGGCCAGTCCTTGGGGCCTTGGGTGCCTGCCCTTGCCACCCTGCTCCCATATTGGCTCCAGAATGCAAGAGGGCAGCCAAGTTTGTCCCAGGAAGCTGCAAGGTCATGCCCAGGACCTGTGTGACCTCTGCCCTGGCCCCAGCTCAGGGTTGCCTACACGCCCCCTGTGCCTCCAACACACACTGTACATGGCAGTAAGCCTCCTTAGTACACAATCGTTCCATGTGCAGCCCACCTTGAACCTCCATTGTGGCCCAGAGGTGGGGAATGCCTGGATACCCTGGACCACTCCTTCTTGGTCTTTCCCAGGGTCTCAGATGGGCCCCCAGACTCCTTCATTGTCTCTCAACTCTACTTCCCCCAAGCAGGTACCTGAGTTCCTCTGAGGGGGAGATCGTGTCGTGTTCCAGTCCTCAGCATGGATGCCCAGGCCTAGACAGCACCCTTCTAGCCTGATCGGAGTGTTGAAAGCAGCCACACAGTGTACCCATCTTCTTGACCTTCTTAGGGACCCCAAACCTGTCCGCAGGGCCTGCTGCCCCATCCCCAAGGCTCTGGTAAAAGGAGGCCCCCTTCCAGAGCTTCCACAAGGCAAGGATCTGGGGGGCCTGCAGCTCACCTGCCCTGCCCAGGCCCCGAGTCGCTTCCTAGCTCCCATTTGCCCAGGCTGACCCAACCAGACCCTTGTCAGTCCACTTTAGCCACCATGCTTTCCATCAGCTCCCCAGGTGTGAGGGCCAGGACTTGGGGTGCAGTGAGCCCTGGCCCTTTTGAGCTCTGGAGATACTAACCCCCAGTGAGGAGCCTGGCTGGGCCCTGCCCAAGTGTCCTGGTCACCTGCCAGCTGTAGCTTCGGCCTCCACTGCTGTGCCCATGTTCAGCCCCAGTTCCACCTTGGGACACCTATCCTGCCTCAGCCCTCTGGCTGGACCCCACCCCAGATCTGGTATCAGACCAACCACCCCTCCCCTCCCCCCATTCCCACCAGCGAGGGGCCTGGGGAGGTAGGAATGACAGCTGGCTTGATGCACCCCTTCCCAAGACACTGGTGAGACCCCCACTCCTGCAGCTGGTCCACTCCTGCTGTGATCCCATTGATAAGAAATGAAATACCGGGGGGTAGGTTACACCCTCTGCCAGCCTGGGGGCCCAGACAGGGAGCATCCAGGAAGGCCTAGGTGTAGTGCCACATCAGAGGGGAGCATTGGCCATGGGAGGGTCCTCACTGAGCTGGCCTGCAGTGTGAGGGTCACAAGGGAGGTACCGTGCCCTTGAGATAGTGGCCCTGCTAATTGGATCCCAGCACCACTGTGTGCTGCCCCCTTGGCATGCCCCTCGGGGAGCCTGCCAGGCTCATTCTCTATACAGCCCCTCCTTGGCAGTGAGTCCAGCAGCCCCACCTCTTCCACCTCTGCCCTCTCTGCTGCCTTCAGGATTCAGCCACCAGGGGGCCCTTGAGAGGCTCCCACAGCCTGATCCCTGCTCAGGAGCCCACAGCTGCTGTTGTAGGGGACAGGATTCACAGGCCAGCAGCTAGCGCCCCCTCCGCCTCAGACACAACCGTACACAGGGTCCTCAGCTTTGAGATCCCTCCGTGGGTGACTTGTGAGGTGGGCATTGGGGCTTCATGTCCAAGACAGCTGGGATGCTGATACCACAATACTCACCGGCTACTAGATTCAAGACTGCCTGCCTAGTCCTGACCCCTGTGTACCAGGGAACCCAGTGTCAGGAGGTGCAGGGGTAGGGTCAGATGGCAGGGTGGCACCCACGGCTTTCCCTCTGACTCTCTCTCACCCACTTTCTTTCATTCTAACCCATTTCCCCAAGCCCCTCGGTGCCTACCAGTAGGTTCCCAGGCTGCCACAGCCACCAACCTATACCAGTCTGCTGAAAGTTGGGTAGCCTGACCCAGCATGTGGTGGGAAGGCTGTGGGTGCAGGTGGGGCCTGTGGCGAGGCCCTGCCAAGCTGGCAGCGCAAACAGGAAGGATGCCCAGGTCCCTGGCGGAGTGCTGCAGAATCATGTCTTTCCTGCAGGCCCCCGCTCCCCGCCCATCACAGGGAGACAAGTGGGGTGAAGGCAGGCACCAAGGCTAGGGTGTGGTTCCCCTGGGGTTGCCCTGCCAGGAAGCCAGTGAGCTAAAGTACAGATGCCCTTCCGTTATCACTCCCAAACCAGGCAACTCTGGAAGGAAGGGGTTGGGGGGAGAAGAACCCGGGTCTTAGGCTGGTCTGATGGCTTCCTACCTCCCTCAGCCTTCCCTCCCCATCAGTCTTGCACAAGTTCCCCATTTGACCGGGAGGTTATCGAGGTTATCGGGGCAGGGGGTGGGGAGACTCTAGAAGTCTCCCAGACTTCCCTCCACCCTCCTTGGTGCCAGACAGTCCTCACGGTGGCCAGGAGCCAGTGGGCCTCGAGTGTACCAGGCCAGGGCCTCCAGAAGTGCGTGGTAGGCCTAACCAACAATTCTTGGTTACTTTCTTTGCTGGGACCTGGTCCGGGGCTTCACAGACACTGTGGAAGGGCCTGACCTCCACACGCCCCACCAGGGACTGGTTTGGACAGCAGCTGGGGGCACTGTCTTGGCTGAGAGTAGGGTGCAGCCAGAGCTGGGGCCCTCTGGGGGAGGCTGCTGAGGCCATGACCCTCCCAGCCCCTGGGGTGACCCTTCCAATCCAGAGGGGCCAGAGGGAAAGGGGAAGGAAATGGACCCTCAGAGCAGCCAGAGGGAAGTGTGTGTGTGTGTGTGGGGGTGAGGGAGAGAGAGAGAGAGAGAGAGAGAGAGAGAGAGTGACAGAGGGAAAGTGAGAAAGAATGCCATGGGGGGGGGGGGGTCCGGCCTTGGAGTCTTCCTGTTCCTGAACCAGGCGCCATCCCCCTGCCCTCCTGCGTCAGGGATAGAATGGTTCCTTCCCTTTCCAGTTTGGAAAGCCCCCCTCCCTGCCCCGCCCAGCTGTGGCCCAGAGGATGTGACCTGGAGACCCCAGGGCGGCCCTCCAGTTTGGCCAGGACCCTGGGCCAGTGGAACACCTACACAGCAGCCCCCCTGCCCCACCCTGCTTCTTGTGGGGCCTCCTGGGAACCGAGCCCTCTGGAGATCGGGGTCCTGGGGATGAGATACTTCCTTAGGGCTCCTGGTGGGGTGGTGGCCCCAGCAACGCTAGCAGGAGAAACCTCAGTCTTGCGGCAGACAGCTGAACACATCACATCAGCAGACTCAAGACACGTTCCACAGAGGGAACAGCAGGCGGTGAGTGGGGAAGTGAGTGAGGTCACAGTGGGCGGGGCGGTGGTCTGGGTCCTTCTGGGGTGCCCCACGTGGGCACCTTCCCTGCAGCCAATCAGGCCTTCCTTCTGCCCTCTGTGTGCCCAGGGTCACTTGCCTAGATGCAGACCCCCTTGGCAGCGGTGAGCAGTGGGGCTCAGGTCTTCTGGGAGTTGGTCAGGAGCTACACCTGGACGAGGTGATACGATGTCCAGGAGCCCTGGACAGGGAGGCAGGGGTGGGAGAGGTGACGATGCTGAAGACCTCCCCATCTCCTGTGGGTGGGGCTGGAATGAGAAGGGGGCCTCTTCACTCACCTAGGGCAGAGGGCACTGAAGGGGCTGAGTGTGTAGGTGTAGCTTTGATTTTAAGGTGCTTTTGCTTGGTGGCCGCTGTGATTTAAAAGCCGGGATTTCTTGACTAATTCTGAGACAGTGGCTGGGGCGACGGCGGCAGTTGGAAAATTCCCGTGAGTGCCTCATGGTGGGGAAGCCAGGCTGAGGGGTTGGTGGGGTGTCCCTGGCTTCACCTGAGAGTGACTGCCTGTCCTCCTCTCATCCCCTCTGCAGGTCCTGGCCAGACAGAAGCTGTGGGCCTGGTGGGGCCTGACCGGGGGGGCCCTGCTCTCTGCCCTGTGGTTCCTGTGGCCCCCCATGCCAGCCCCTAGGGGACCCCTGGAGCCCCCACCCCCACTCACCATCCTCATCTGGCATTGGCCCTTTACTGACCAGCCCCCCGACCTGCCTGGTGAAACCTGTTCACACTTTGGCGCTGCCCACTGCTGCCTGAGCACCAACCGCAGCCTGCTGGCCAGTGCCGATGCTGTGGTCTTCCACCACCGGGAGCTGCAGAATAGCCGGGTCCACTTGCCCTTGGACAGGAGGCCGCGTGGGCAGCCCTGGGTCTGGGCCTCCATGGAGTCACCCAGCCACACCCATGGCCTCAGCCGCCTCGGAGGTATCTTCAACTGGGTGCTGAGCTATCGCCGTGACTCGGACATCTTTGTGCCCTATGGTCGCCTGGAGCCCCTTGAAGGACCCCTTCTACCACCATCGCCGGTCAAGAGTAGGCTGGCTGCCTGGGTGGTCAGTAACTTTCAGGAGCGGCAGCAGCGGGCGAAGCTGTACCGACAGTTGGCACCTCACCTGCACATCGATGTGTTTGGCCGCGCCAACAGGCGGCCACTCTGTGCAGATTGCCTGCTGCCCACTGTGGCCCGCTACCATTTCTATCTGGCCTTCGAGAACTCCGTGCACCGAGACTACATCACGGAGAAGTTCTGGCGCAATGCGCTGCTGGCGGGCACCGTGCCCGTGGTGCTGGGCCCCCCGAGGGCCAACTACGAGGCTTTTGCACCCCCTGATGCCTTCGTGCATGTGGAGGATTTCGACTCCGTCCATGAGCTGGCCAGCTTCCTTTCCAGCATGAACGAGACTTGCTACCAGCGTTTCTTTGCCTGGCATGACCACCTGCGAGTGCGGCTACTCAATGACTGGCGAGAACGTTTCTGTGCTATCTGTGCCCGCTTCCCCCACCTGCCGCGCGGCCAGGTCTATGAGGACCTTGAGGGCTGGTTCCAGGTCTGAGTGCAGTTGGCTGGAGGCTGCCAGGGATGGGTGGGGGGGAGGGGGGGAGGAGGAGGTCTGGATGTTGAAATAAAACCACAGGACATCCGGCCCCCTCAGGGTCCTGCTGGATGAAGGCGGAGACTGTGGCCAGAGGCTCGGGAGATTGAACTGAAGAGGCTTTGCAGGGGGAGGTTGCTGGGTGTTGGGGACAGGCTGGGGAAGGGGAGGGGAGAGCAGGGAGGGAGTCAGTGGTGGGCACAGAGCCCACCTTCCATGAATCTTGGGTGGGACCCTGGTCATACTGAGACATGGGACATAGAGGGACTGGCAGCAGGGCCCTGGGCTGGGGCACTCAGGCTTGTGGAGGGCAAAACCCAAATGCCCTGGTCCAGTGGCAACACTTGCTTCCTTCCACAGTGGCTGACCCCATGTGTGGGCAGTTAGCAGTGATGAGCAGGTTGTCGTGCAGGGAGGGGACTTGAACTAGTAAAGATTGAATAGCGAGGATGGCTGTGTCTGGTCTGTGCAGAGGCTGAAGGGCCTCCATGTCCCTGTCCCCACCTCATGCCCCTCCGTGTTCCACCCAGTAAACAGGCTCCTTCCCACATGCTTCCCTTAAGCCCTAGTCCCCATTGTCTGTCTAGCTCACTCTCACTCCTTTCTGTTCGCTTTTTAGGGAGATGTTCTTGAACCCCAAAAGGTCAAAGTGGGTGGTGAAGGGGGGTCTGACAGGAGTCACTGCTCCATGCCACAGGCCCTGGCAGGAGGGTCCTGGGGAAACAGGCTCTGATACATGACTGCTGGTGGCAGCCCGGCAGTGATGGGAGCAGCAAGGGACAGCCGTGTGGCCATGGACCCCCTTACTGGGGACTGAATGTGAGAAGAAGGGCCCTTGGGTGAAATGTGGAGGAGGGGATTAGATCCGGTTCCTGGGGCAGAGGCTGGGGCTGTCCTTGCCCAGGTGGGGTGGGCAGCCGTTGAGGCAGGAAGCCGTGGTTCGTGGTACCAGCTCCTCCCCTCCCCCAATGGCAGCTGCTCTTAGACCCGCCAGTCATTTCCTGCACTTGACCCAGCTCTGAGCGCTCAGTGGGGAGAAGGAAGTGTCCTGAAGTTTAGAAGCTAGGTGAGGGTGTCCCAGATACTGGACACCAGACATCCTATTACAGGTGGGGAAACTGAGGCAGGCTGGCACAGCCGACCTGAAACGGGGCTCTCCACTCCAGCAATGCTGGCTGGCTCTCTGCTGCCCTCTGCTGGCCTCATGGGGCTGGACCCCGAACCCTTTCTGCCTGAGCTGGGGCTGAGCCCACAGGCTCTAGGTCATTTCTTTGGGATGGACTCCACCCCAGAGACCAGATTTGCACCTGGACAGGGTGAGAGATGCCAGCTACTACAGAGAAGTCAGCCTCAGTTTCCGTATGCACCCTATTTGCACCCCCTGCAGGAGCAATTCCGGGATCAATAAGCCCTTCCTGTCCATCAACAGTGCCTCCTCACTCTTCAGGAACATGGGGAACTTGTGGGCGAAAGTGCAGGCCAGCCACAGCTCCTGGACCACGTCCCCTGTTTGAGGGTGTGGCTCAGGATGTGCCTCATCAGGTATCCTTCCTGATGTGTCCCTGGGAGTGATCCTCTTGGGGGCTGGGAGTGGACTTTTGAGGGCTTTCCCCATTTACTGATATTCCTTCTGTGTATGGGCCTGGCAGATGCGTGACCTCAGGGTCGAGCCCCTCCCAGTACCTGGAGTGCAGGGACCACTCTTGGGTGCCACAAAGTACCCTGGGTCTTGGGAGGGGTCCTGGGAGAGTGTGGGGCAGGGTTAGGGAAGGTCTGGATTGGAATCTGAACTCTGTGACAAGGAACTGCCTGGCGGCGCGGGGGTCAAGGTCTGAGTTGGGGATGGGATTGAGGGGCGTCTGAGTCTGGGGCGGGGGCGGGGTTTGGAGCGGGAGTTAGGGTCCTGTGGGGAGGTTAGGAGTCTGGATCGGATCGAGGAACAGACGGGGTGAGGGCTTGAGGGTCGGGGTCTCTCCAGGGAGTGGGGTCTGGAGCAAGGGTCACGGTCGAGGGAAGGGGGGCGTTTGGGGTTTGGGGCGCCGTCTGGTTCTGGGGCGGGGATTTCAGTCTTGGCGGGGAGGTGGGGATCTGGATCGAGGGCGAAGAGGGGAGCAGGCTTAGGGGTCGAGCTGGGGCAGGGTCTGGGGCAGAGATCAGGGTTTGAGGCAGGGAGTGGGGTCAGAAGCAAAGGCCCAGGTTTGAGGCTCGAGACGAGATTTGAAGCAAGATTGGAGTCGGGGCTCAGGGTCGGGGTCTGGGAATGCGATTTTGGGAGGGAGTTGGGGTCCTGGATTGAGGGTGGGGCGGCGGGCGGGTTTGGGGTCTTGACGGGGGCGGGGCCTCGGGTAAGGGCTAGGTCTGGGGCGTGCCCTGGTGGATGCTGCGGACTCCGGGAGCGGCGCCTTTAAGCGCGGGCGGCTCGGGTGGGGGCGCGCGGGGGACGGCACGAAGTCGCCGTCGCTGCCGTCGCCGCCTGGGCGGAGCCGCCGCCGAGCCGGTCCCGGACGCCTGAGCCGCCCCGCCCCCGCGCGGGCGACGATGCCGAGAGGCGCGGCGGCCAGTGGGGCCCGGTGGGGCGCGCAGGGGAACGGGACGCGGCTCTGAGCGGCTGGAGAGCGGCCGGGCTACGGCGCCGCCATGGGCTTCCTACACCAGCTGCAGCTATTGCTCTGGAAGAACGTGACGCTGAAGCGCCGGAGCCCGGTGAGCGCGGCGCGGTGCTGCGCCCCAGCAGCGATGTGGGTCAGAGGCGCCCGCGGCACGTGCGGCCGGCTGGGGATCTGGCCGCGCAGACCCCGGTAGCTGCGGGGATCGCCGGGGAGGGGGGGGAAGGGGGGAGGGTACAGCTGTGCAGCCGGCCAGGACCCCTGCCGGCAGGCTGGCGCAGCAGCTGCTGGGCATCGACAGCCCTGCCCGCAGCCCCGGACGGTGCCGCGGACGTTTGCGGGCTCTCGGCTGAGTCACGGGACAGACGCCCTCCGCAGCGTCCTACCGGCTGGCTGCGGGATGTAGGCAGTCCCGCATCCAGGACAGGGCGTTCAGTCTCGACCCTTTCCGTCAGCCCCTGCCAGGACCCTCTCTCTCTCTTCCCTCCCTCCGCTGCCCCTCTGCCCTTGGGCAGGAGGCCTCAAGTCGAGGTTGGTGCTGGGGTACCTCTCCTCTCTCCCTCCCCCCTCCTCCTGCGCACCCTCCGTCAATCCACAAGCCCTTGCTTGTGATTCTCGCGCCATCAGGAGCGTCCTTGTTCTCCCGGCCTCTGCCACCCCGAGTCTCCCCACCCTTTTGTCCTTTGGGAACAGTTCTTCCTTAGGCCGATCCACCCCAGCTCCCTCCCCCCACCCAGGGCAGCCAGGGGCGAAGGGCACCGGGCACAGACCCAGTCAGGGAAGGAGCCCTGGGCAGGGAGCAGGGTTGGGGGGCTACCCCTTGCTAGTTCTATCTCCCACCCCGCCTCTGGGCCAAGGCTGACAGGAACATCTGGAAGCAGGGACAACACATCCAGCAAGAGGTTTGGGCAGCTTCAGTTCTGAATGGGCTTTTCCAGGGAGGGGCCAGGGCCCTTGGCTCCCTGAGGAGGGACCTGAGGTGGCCCTGGGTCTCTTTGGAAAGGACAGCAGGAGAGCTGGAGTTTTGGTGTGTGGAGGAGGCGGTTGGCATCACCCTGCCCTCCAAGGGCTCTGGCCCTGGCTGGGAGCCCAGGTCTAGAGCGCTCGCTCCCTCTCTGGGGTGCCTGAATCCCACTGAGTTGAGCCACTTGGAGGAGATGTGCAGCCCCAGGTAGCCTAGGGTACAGCCCCCAGCTTCAGCTTTGGGTCCCCTGAGTGGAGATGGAGCCCACATTAGGATCAACCCTAGGTGTTCCTGACCGGAAGGACCCAACCCCCACAGCAGGGCTTGGGAGCAGCGCCTGGAAGTCTCAGGTTCTGGAAAGGGAACAGCAGCAGATGGTAGGGGCACCTGGAAAGTGTACCCACCCTGAGAATGACCTCCACTGCCAGGTTGGGCCACGCCCTCCCTTTCTGTGCCCTGTCCCCTCTCTGGCTCTCCCCAGGGCCTATTTGGTTGGGTCCTTGGCTTCAGAGCCAAGTGAGTGGGGTGTGGAACCCCTACGTGGTGCGTACCCTGGGGCTGGAGATGCGTCCCTCTTTCAATTCAGAGCTCGCTTGGATTGGGCTGGGTCAGACAGATGTTGTGTGTTCTGTGCAATGGGGGGGGGCAGTATCTGGTGGAAGGCACAGTGTCGGGACAGTGAGGAGCAAGCATCCTCTTCCCTGCAGGTTCCCCTCTAGCAAGCTCTTTGTGAGGGTGGCCCATTCCTTCCGGGTTAGCTGGACACCAGGCAACCCGGGACCTCAGGCTGTGCTTGGAGGAGGAGCTAGATCTCTGTCCTTAATCCCAGTGGCACTGCCTCCCTCCAGTTACTTTGGCAACGCTGCCCTTAGGCCTCACCTGCTGCCCACCCCCCTTGATGAAGTAGGAGTGAGGTACGGAGGTGAGAAGGGTTCAGACTGGTGGACACCCATGCCCAGGGGCACTGGCCTTGAGGGACAGAGGTTGGGCTACCTTGCAGGCACTGAGGTGCAGTAGCCAGGTGGGGCACCCAGGTAGGACTGAACGTGTGCTGCTGGCCTGTAACCAGATGCCGCTCCACTGCCAACCAGGCCTCCCCTGCTCCTCCCAGCAGCTCATGCGCAGCCGTTGCTATAGTGATGGGGGAGGTGGCTGTGGCCTGTTGCTGCAGCTATAGAAGCTGTGGTGCCCGGTGGGGGTGGGTGTGAGTCGGGCTGGCACTGTGGCTGTGACCCCGGTCTCCAGCACCCACCTTCCCATGCAGCTGTGTGCCTGTGACCAGCGCCTGCTTGAGCGACCTCGTGGGTGCCTGTGATAACCTCTGGGCTCAACCCAGTTTGGGAGGGGTGAAGGCTGGCACAGACTGGGGTGGGCATGTTTGGGGCCACAGAGCGCCATTGTCATCTGCCTCAATAAACACTGCAGCTGGTCCACTCCGGGCACAGGCCAGCCCTGGGCCCGACGGGTGCTACAGCTCTGGGTCTCTGAAGTCTGTTTTGAGGCAGAAGGGGATGAAGGGATCCTGTGTGTCATGTGGTCCAAGCTGGGTGGGGATGAGGGTCAGAGCAGCCTCTCCCCAGGCCAGGCCCCTGTTCTCCCTCCGTCATGAGCCAGGAAGCTCCGGCCCACAGGACTCAGTTGAGCCTGGCCTGGGGTCTTGGCCTTCCTCCCACTCAGCCACAGGCGCATGGCAGGACACACTGTGGTGGCTCTCCTGGGCAGCAACAGCTCCGGGAAAACTGGGCTGAGGCTGGGTCTGAGACAGGGCCTTGGTTCTGAGTCCTGGAGTCTTACATTGTAGGGAGGGTAGAGGGTAGAAGGAGGTACTTTTGGCTTCAGGGGCGGGGGCGGTCCCACCCTCTTTCCAGTTGCTCCTGGTCTATCTTCCCAGCCTCCTGCTTGGGGGCTGGGTGGTGCTGCTCAGAGCCCTGGAAGTGTGGGAATTATCCTCCTGCCAGGCCAACCACAGGAAGAGGTAGGGGAAGATGAGCTGGTACTTGAATAGGTCAGAGTGGCCCACAAGCTGAGTGGTCTGTCCCTGCTGGCTCTGAAGCTCCTCATAGAGCAGGTGACCCAAATATAACCCCTCCTTCAACCCCTGTGTGGTAAGCAGAGCTGGGAGGCCAGATACCACCGGCTCTCTTGGCAATTGGAAAGGGCTGAGACCTTGGTTGGCCTTGGAGAGTCTGGCTCGGCCTCCTGTACCCCCAACTTTTGCAAATGGGCTCCTGGCTGGTCTGTTCTCAGGAGAGAGAGCTGGGAGGGGTTAGGCCAGATGGGGGTCTCATGTGACCTCCCTTCATAGTGGGTCTTGGCCTTCGAGATCTTCATCCCGCTGGTCCTCTTCTTCATCCTGCTGGGACTACGGCAGAAGAAGCCCACCATCTCTGTGAAGGAAGGTGAGAGTCTGTGTGAGGTGGGCCAGTGGGCGGGGGTCCTCACCACATCTGCACGGGTGTTCTGTGTGCATGTGCCTGCACAAATGTGCCCACCTGTCCCCTGGCTCCTGAGACCTACCTGTGTCCTGGTCCTGTGCTCCGAGCCTACGGGTGGGCTCAGAGAAGGACATGGCCTTGGTGGCCACAAGCAACCATGGACACCGGTTCTCAGCGTGACTACGGTACTCACTGGTCTCCTCTGTTCTGTTTTGACCCCGCCCAATCCACGCATGGTCTGTGCCCTCCTCCACCGTGGCCCGCATGCAGTCTGTAAGTGAGCAGGCGCGCTTCATCCAGCTGGACCCCAGGCGGCAGCGGCGGGAGGGCCCCTATGGGGTCCTCCTGGTGCAGCTTGAGCACCCCTCCCTGCTTGCATTAACAACCTCCCCCTGGCTTGTCTGGGGCTTCGGAGCCCCCCGCACCTTGTCAGTGACAACTGTCTCAAGACGGGTGATGGGCAGTAAAGGGTCTGGGGCTGAGCCACAGCTGGGCAGGGTCAAGCTGCTAGGGTGTCGCTTTCTCTCTGTTGGGTCATCTGACAGTGTACTCCTGCCTTGGGGTGCCTGGGCTAGCCTGGGGCTGGGCTGGGCCTAGTATGGGGCTGGGGCAGGGCAGACCTGGGTTGGGGGGTGGCTAGCCTGGGGCTGGGGTGGGGCTAGCCTGGAACTGGGGTGGGGCTAGCCTGGAACTGGGGTGGGGCTAGCCTGGAACTTGGGTGGGGCTAGCCTGGCTTCTTTACCTTCACCTCCCTTTGGGCTTTCCTGCACTCACTTTGCTAACTTGCTGCCCAGAAAGGTCAGAGGTCACCTCCAGGGGTGGGGGAACTCTGTGGGCAGATTTTGGATTTGGGTGGTTGAGGGGAGAGGGAAGCCTGAGGGTCCTGGGGTAGGGGCTGGCAGGTGGCCCTTTGACCTCTGACCTGCGGGAGTCATTGGCACCGCTGGGGCCCAGCGCTCTGCCCACTGTCTTCTGCCTGAAGCCCTCCTCCTTCCTGACTCTCCAAATTTCTCCTTTTGGTCTGTCTCCCTCCCCTCTTGGTTACACTTCCCTGGTCCTTCTGGATTCTCTTCCCTGCCTGTCCCTGTAGCCTTCTACACAGCTGCACCCCTCACCTCTGCCGGCATTCTACCTGTCATGCAGTCTCTGTGCCCAGACGGCCAGCGGGATGACTTTGGCTTCCTGCAGTACACCAACTCCACGTGAGTGTCC